CCAAAGCCTGGGGCTCCCCGGACCCGGCGGCCCCGCCCTCGGCCCGCCCGGCGCTGCCCACGTGGAGCCGGACGAGGTGGACAAGTTCAAGGCCCGGTTCCTGACCGCCTGGAACAACGTCAAGTATGGTGAGGAGGGGGCAAGGTCAGGGTTGGGGGTGTGCGGGACAGCCAGGCCCTGACCCCGCGATGATCCGCCCGTGTTCCTGCTCCGTGAGTCACCCTTGGGCCCCCGCCCTGCCCCGCCCGGGGTGGACCTGGGGCAGGACTAACAAGGAAGGTTTGCAAACCTCGCCCATTCTCCGTTTGACCTTGGAGCAAACTTAGTGGTTCTCTGCCCCTCCACCTTCCTGCTCTGCAAAATGGGTGCCACAATCAGAAGTGCTTAATTTGGACATCCCAATCCTCGGGAGGCTAAGGCAGGAGAATCGCTGCAAGTTCCAAGCCAGTCTGGGTTCCGTAGTGAGTTCAAGACAAGCCTGGACAACACAGCTTACCTTGAACCATTAAAAAGCAAAAACCAAAAGAACACCAGGCGTGGTGGTTCACGCCTGTAATCCCAGCACGTGGCGGACTGACGCAGAAGGATTGCCAGGAGTTTCAGGGCCAGCCTGAAGTTCTAGCGAGACCCTGCCTTTAAAAATAAAAATAATCAGAGATGCCGTCATTCCTGCCGAGTTGATGGTGGACACTCAGACAGCTCTTACCCGGGCCCCATGTTCCTCTCAGCGGGGGTGTTGTTGGGAGCTGGGGTTGTGGCCATCCCAGGTGGGACCATGGGGGCACCTTGCTAAAGCAAGGCTCCATCTCACTGGGCGCTCCCCACGTCTCCGCAGGGTGGATGGTCAGAAGCCGGACCAGCTTTAGCAAGATCTCTAGCATCTACCTCTGTGGGCGCCGCTACCGCTTTGAGGGTGAAGGTGAGTTTAGGATAGCCCAGGGATGAAGGACAACGCCCCCCACCTCTACCCCCGGCCCCACGCCCCATCCCTGGTAGCTGGTGACAGGCCAACTCTCCTAGGTGACATCCAGCGTTTCCAGCGGGACTTTGTGTCCCGCCTGTGGCTGACCTACCGCCGGGACTTTCCACCCCTAGCTGGGGGCTCCCTGACCTCAGACTGTGGCTGGGGATGTATGTTACGCAGTGGTCAAATGATGCTGGCTCAGGGCTTGCTGCTGCATTTCCTGCCCCGAGGTGAGCCCTGCAGGGAGATGGGGTGTGTTAGGAGAACAGTGCCATGTGTTAGAATTATTTGCAAACTGAGTTAAAAGCCACTTTAAAATTGTGTGTTAAGGCAAGTGTGGTGTGGTGGAGCAATACTGTAATCACAAGACAGGAGGCTGAGGCAGGAAGATCATCTCAGTCAAAGACCAACCTAAAAAAAAAAGACCAGCATACACTACATAGTGAGACACTGTCTCAAAAACAAAACTGAAAACAGTAAATAAATTAATTAATAAGTTCATTCATTAATGAAATTATATGTTAAGTACTTTGATGGGGCAGTAAGTTTTCTAGCAGAGTTTCGGGGCACATGTGGTTGCACTTCCTGTGATTGCAACAACTCAGGAGGCTGAGGCAGGAGGATCATAAGTTCAAGGTCAGCCTGAGCTACATAATGAGACCCTGTCTCAAAATTAATTCATTAAATTTTAAAAATGGACTGGGTCTCAGTGGTAGAGCATTTGGCTAAAATGAACCAGGCCTTTGGTTTCATCCCCTGCACCAAATTTTTTTCTTTTTTCTTTTTTTTTTTTATCTTTTTGAGACAGTGTCTCACTCTGCAGTTCAGGCTGGCCTTGAGCTCACATTGTAGCCCAGGCCGGCCTGGAACTTGCAACAATCCTCCTCCCTCAGCCTCCCAAGTGCTGGGATTACAGATGTGCGCCACCATGCCCATCAAAAAATATTTTTAAAAATAAAGTTAGCCAGACGTGGTGGTGCATGCCTGTAAACCCAGCACTTTGGAGGCTGAGGCAGAAGGGTGGTTGTGAGTTTGAGACCTGCCTAGGCTACAAAGTGAGCTCAAGGCCAGCCTGAACTGCATAAGGAGACCCTGTCTCAAAAAAAGAAAAAAAAACAAAAAACTAAAAGAAGTTTGAAGCATGTAAAAATTGTAGTTAAATTTGGGCTTCTCGGGAAGGTTAGTGTTTTGGGTACGATATGGGTAAATGGGCCCAGGCATGATGAGGCACACTTAGGAGCCCAGCTCTTGGAGCTTTTTTTTTTTTTTGGTATCATGATCAAACTCAGGACCTTGCATTTGCCAGGCAGGTGCTTGTGCCGCTGAGCTACATCCCCGGCCCTGATCCCAGCATTTGCGAGGCTGAGGCAGGAGGATCCCTGCAAGTTTGAAGTCAGATGGCCACATAACAACCTCTGTCTCAGAAACCAAAATTAGAAACCAAAATGTGACTGGGAACTGAGCCCCATCCACATTAGCACTGACCACACTCTCCATCCCCCCAGACTGGGTGTGGGCCGAGGGTCTAGGCCCTGGCCCCCCTGAGCTGCCTGGCTCGGCTTCCCCCAGCCTGCGGGGAGGCCCTGCCCGCTGGATGCCGCCGCGCTGGCCCCGGGGCGCCCCCGAGCTGGAGCAGGAGCTGCGGCACCGGCAGATAGTGTCCTGGTTTGCCGACCATCCTCGGGCCCCCTTTGGCCTGCATCGGCTGGTGGAGCTGGGGCAGAGCTCAGGCAAGAAGGCCGGTGACTGGTACGGGCCGTCGCTGGTGGCGCACATCCTCAGGTGAGAGCCGCTGCGGGGCACACGGGAGCCGCTGGGCGCGCCCAGGAGCTCAGCCCGGCTCTTGTGTCCCCAGGAAGGCTGTGGAGAGCAGCTCTGAGCTCACTCGCCTGGCCGTGTATGTTTCTCAGGACTGCACAGGTACCTCTCTTTGGGCAGGAATGATTGGCTTGCCGCTGAGCCAGCCAATCACAGCCTCCGCTGCCCCTGAGGCCCCGCCCCCCTCAGGGATGGGAAACGGCCACTTGGGAAGGTTCCCAGGCTGGAATTGTAGGAGGTTCAGTGTCCCGTCTCCGCCTGTTCCTCCCGAGCCTTGAGGGGAAACAAACGGGCCTGGATACCAGGCTGGGCACTCTTGCTCTGCAGACCACCTGTCCCCACCCTGTCCCGGCAGTGTACAAGGCGGATGTGGCGTGCCTGGTGGCCAGCGGGGACCCAGCGGCCGAGTGGAAGTCTGTGGTCATCCTGGTGCCCGTGCGCCTGGGCGGCGAGGCTCTGAACCCCGTGTACGTGCCTGGTGTGAAGGTGGGTGCGCAGGGGCTGGTGCCTCCACCTGGGAGACCCGGGATTTTTCAGCTTGGGTCAGGGTCACAGCTTCTGTCCCTTTCGTCGTTTTGAGCATTGGGAGATGGAACCCAGGGGTTCACGCTGAGCTACCTCCCCAGCCTTTTTAAAAATTTTTAAAAATTATTAATTAATTTATTTATTTATGTCTTTTTGAGACAGGATCTCACTATGCAGTTCAGGCTGGCCTCGAGCTCACTTGGTAGCCCAGGCTGGTCTCAAAGTTGCAACGATCCTCCTGCCTCAGCCTCCCGGGTGCTGGGATTACAGGCGTGCGCCACTACAAACCAGCTTTAAATTTGTATTCTGAGTGGAACTCTTGATCTTCTTGCCTGTAACTCCCACAGCGCTGGGATTACAGGAGTTCACCACCACTCCCACCCCGGGCAGAAATTGTGTCTCCTGGAAGTGGATGTTCTAGTTGGGGAAATGATCGATAATCGAGTTCACACAGAGGTTGGGGAGGTAGCTGTTGGTACACTAGTGTGCTCAGCATGTCCTGAGTTCCAGCCCCAGCACCAGAAAACTTTTAAATATAAAAACTGGCACCTGTGTAATCCCAGCACCCGTGAGGCTGAAGCAGGGGATTTTGAGTTCAAAGCGAGTCAAGGCTACATAGTGTGTGGGCAGCCATGTCTCAGAAAACCACAGACAGGAATTGGCCTTAGAACCTGGTCTCTGAAGGGCAGGAATCCACCCCCGAAAGGGCCCTGGAAAGCCCCACTGCAGGAGGCGCCAGAGTGGGCGCTACAGCAGAAGCACTCCAGGTGGAAGAGGCAAACGCCCAGAGGTTGGGAAACCTCTGCTGGCTTTGCACTCAGGGTAAAGCCAGAGTCCTCTACTAGGCCTCCCGCCGCTGCACTGTTGGTTTCCCTCACTTCCTTGACCTTGTCGCCCCCTATAGGACCTTGCTTGGTCCTTCCTCATCCTGCTCCTCCCTGAATCAACCTCCCTGCTTTCAGAGCCTCCTGCCTCAGGGCCTTTGCACACACTCTTTCCCCAGAGATGCACTTGGCTGCAGCATTTCCCATCCAGTCTCTGCTGAAACATCCATGACCCTTCAGTGAGGCTTTTCACAAACTTTCATTGCAAATTGCAAAACCCAAGGCTGTGGTGTAGCTCAGTGGTGAGCCTTTGCCAAGTATGTGCAAGGCCCCAAGTTCCATCCCCAGCACCATAATAAAATACACCTGTAATCCTAGTACTTGAGAAGCTGAGGGAGGAGGATTGTGAGGAGTTTGAGTTCGGCCTGGACTACATGGAGAGTTCAAGCCCAGCCTGAACTGCATAGAAAGACCCTGTCTCAACAATTAAAAAAAGAATATTTGTTGAGTGACTATTTGACAGCACCTGTCTCAGTTCTACTCTTGCCCCCCGCAGGAGCTCCTCAGGTCGGAACTGTGCCTGGGCATCATGGGAGGCAAACCGAGGCACTCACTGTACTTCATCGGCTACCAGGGTAGGCCCTGCCCCACCCACTGCCTCCCCACTCTGTGTCCCCACCCTGCTCACGGCTGCCCCCCCGTAGATGACTTTCTGCTGTACCTGGACCCCCACTACTGCCAGCCCGCGGTGGACGTCAGCCAGGCTGACTTCCCCCTGGAGGTACGGCGGTGTCCCCAGGGCAGGGCTGGGGAGCACGGGGAGGAGCGGGGTCCCCTGCAGCTCCCGTCTCTGTTGGCCCCAGTCTTTCCACTGCACCTCCCCCCGCAAGATGGCCTTCGCCAAGATGGACCCCAGCTGCACGGTGGGGTTCTACGCGGGGAACAGGAAGGAGTTTGAGACGCTCTGCTCCGAGCTGACCAGGGTGAGCAGAGGAACCGGCGGAGGAGGGGCCTCAGTCCAACATGCCCTGGGCTGCGGGCGGTGTGGGGGTCTGGAAATTGTTTGTATCCACATGGTACCAGAGGTGCGGCTCCCTGGTAGAGCATGTGTGAGGCTCTAGGTTCAGTCCTCAGCACCAAAAAGTAAGTGTGCAGCATCATCACAGTACTCCGGAAGGCTGGGGCAGGAGGGTCACAAGTTCAAACCCAGCCTGGGCAATTTAGTGATTCAAGGCTGGGGATGTAGCTCGGTGCACAGGCCCCGGATTCAACCCCCAGTACCAAGAGTTTCCACCTCTGGGAACCTGGACGAGTGCCAAGGGAAACGCTGGCCAAGGTCACCCATTGTCTCCGCAAAGCACAAAAGCCCTCTTTGGTAACTGATGAGCTCAGCAGGCATTACTGAAAAGCTTGGGCACGGTTACCCTGGGGACAGCCATACCCAAAGGTCCACAGGCCCTGCCCCTCCCTGAGCCCCATGGTGGTGGGAGAGGCAGTCACCAGCACCACCAGTCCCCTCCTCTGGTTCACTGGTGTACGGCTACATATTTGCGGCCGCTACAGGGAAAATCTCAGGGCTGTCACTCATTGGTTGCGTTGGGTCATGTGCTCACAGGTGAGCCAATCACAGCAAGGAAGGATGCTGATTGGCTGGCCTGGGTCCCCATCGTAGAGTTGGATGCTGAGTTCTTTCAGAGGTCTTGTGTCCAGCTGAGCTCGCTCTGCCTCCTCCCAGCAGATCCTCAGCTCCTCCTCAGCCACGGAGCGCTACCCCATGTTCACCCTGGCCGAGGGCCACGCTCAGGACCACAGCTTGGACGACCTCTGCTCCCAGCTGCCCCAGGCCACCGCACTGCGGCTCCCTCGCACCGGCCGCCTCCTCAAGGCCAAGCGGCCAAGCTCCGAGGACTTTGTGTTTTTATAGCGGAGGGGATGGGGGAGACGTGAGACTATTTATTTTTTTATTTATGTCACTTGGTGGGGGGTGGAACTCCGGAGACGGCGGGGTTTCTCCTCCTCAGCCCTCCACCGCCCCGCAGAGACAGTCTAGGAACCCGCAGAACTGGGGCCGCTAGCCGCGCCCTCCGGGGCCCCCGCACAGGGCGGGCCGCGCAGACCCCCGGGCGCCACTCAGGGCCTGACTCTCGCACTGTAGTTTGCACTGGCCCGGCGTGCCCTTCGCTGTCCCCAGGCCCCTGCCCGGGGCACGCTGTGCCTGCCGGGGCTAATAAAGCTGTTGGCTGGCCTGGCTGTGGGGCCTCCGCCGTCCTGTCCTCAGACGCAGCTCGTGGGTCGCGGCCGCTTCCCCCGCAGCCGGCGCAGCTGGCGGAAGTGGAGCCGCTTGGGGTTGAGGCCAAACGCCTGCAGTCTCTGGCGGCTGAACTCTCGGCCACCGAGCGTCACCGTGGGGCCCAGCAGCCGCGCCTTCCTGCCGCTCCTCCGCTTCTGGGGGGCTGGCGTCTTGCGGGGCAGCGCGGGGGCCTCCTTGTCCTGTGCCGGGGCGCTCTCGGGCCGGGGCCGCTGCCCGTGGCCTCGGTCAGGCGCCGGCAGCTGCTCCCGAGGGCCGGCCGTGTGCCCCTGCTGCTGCCCAGTGGCTTCCCTGGCGGTTTCCATCCTAGGGGTGAAAAGTTGGGGTTCGGGCAAGGCCAGTCATGCTGAGCACGCGTCCCCACCTCCAGATGAGGGAAGCGCGGGGCAGCGGCAACCCAGGGCCTGCCTGGGTGCGGACCCAGCTCTCACAAGCCCAATTTTCCCTTCAGACCCAAGGCCGGGCCGTGGTATTAACTGGTATTTACGCTACACCGAGCTCAGCACGGAAACAACTTGTTTTAGCTTCAGTCGGCTCTGGGCTCCTGTTACCCTTGCTGTACAGATGGACAGAGTGATCAGCACAACAGCTCATACCTGTAGCGCATTTGCTGTACTTTCTCTTTTGGTGCTGAGTTTGAACTCAGGGCTTTGCACATACTAAGCACGCATGTGCCCAGTGAGCCCTACCGCACCGAATACTCCGCGTGTTTTCGGATTTTTGAGGTGAGGTCTTGCCATATACTTCAGACTGGCCTGGGCTATGGAACCCAGGTGGGCTTGAACTCGTGATCTTCCTGCCTCAGCCTCCCCAGCACTGAGATCATAGGCCTTGGCCACATGCCCAGCATTCCTGTATTTGATTTTCAGCACTTAGATGAATTAACTCAGTCCTCAATAACCTGACGAGGTATGAGGTGTAAATTTACGTAGCCCCATTGTGTAAAGGAGAGACAGGGTTAGTGTCTTAGCAGTGCTCACACCGCTGAGGCCCAACTGGGAAGGGAACCCCGGTCTTGGAGAGGGAAGTCCTGTTCCCAGGGGCTGAGGAGTAAGACAAACCACCCGCCCACCCGCGGGGCTTACCCCTCCGGGCAGAGCGACCGGAAGATCTGCCGCTTCTTCTGGGAGTTCCGGGCCTTCTGGCTGTACGCCCGCTGGTCCTGCAGCTCCTCCTGCTCTGACCTGCAGGGGCGGGGCCGCCTGTGACCAGATGCTCTGGGGGTGCACTACCCCCCACCTCCACCTGCTCCCTGGCCGGTCACCTGTACATGCAGGTCTTCTTCAGGGAGCACCAGCGGTTCAGCTCCCTGTCCTCAGCAGCCAGGATCTGCAGGGAGGGTGGGGTCACTAAACCTGTGTCACCTCATCCCTCAGCGCGGGGCCACGCTGGCGCCACCCAGGGGTCACGGTGGTGGGGGAAATGACTTCCACACAGGTCTCCTGAGTTTTTGGTGGGGGAATCTCAGGACAAAAGGGGCTATGGTGGTGACATTAATTCCCTAACAGGGCCAGGAAGCTGGCTGACCTCAGACAGCAGGTCCAGCCCAAGGGGCATTGGTCCCCACCTGCCGGCCACCACTGTCCTCAAAGCTTCCAGACAGAGTAGGGATCTTGTTTTTTTGTTTTGTTTTTTTTTCTTTTGTCTTTTTGAGATAGGGTCTCGCTATGCAGTTCAGGCTGGCCTGGAGCTCACTTTGTAGCCCAGGCTGGTCTCGAACTCACAAAGATCCTCCTGCCTCAGCCTCCTGAGTGCTGGGATTACAGGCGTGCGCCACCACGCCCGGCTGGTTTTGTCTTTTTGACACAGGGTCTCACTGTGTAGCCCAGGCTGACCTTGAACTCACAGTGATCCTCTTACTCAGCCTCCCCAAGGGCTAAGATGACAGGCATGTGCCACTACATCCAGCTCCCAGCAATTCTTAATGCCCACTCTGCTCCTGACAGTAATAAAATTAAAAGTAGTTACTTAGGGTGGCTGAGGTTGTGATCTGGTGGTAGATGTGCAAAAACAACAAAAAAATATTCAAAAGCTTTGTGTGGTACATGTCTGTAATCCCAGCACTCAGGAGCCTGAGGCAGGAGGATCTCTATGAGTTAGGAACCAACCTGGGCTACATAGTAAGTTTAAGGTCAGCCTGAAGTACACACATAGTAAGTTTAAGGTCAGCCTGAAATACACAGTAAGAGCCTGTCTTACAAACACAAAACATTCAAAATCCCAGCTACTTGGGAGGTGACACAGGAGGATGGTATGTTCAAGGACAGCCTGAACAACTTAGTGGAGAAGTGTCTCAAAAACAAAACAAAACCTAAAGTAATACTTATGGGCGCATGGAACCTGGAGCCTTTGCATGCCAGCAATCACTCTGCCACTGAGCTACACCCAACTATATCATGTTTGTTTGCTTGTTTTTGTACTCGGAATTGAACTTAGGACCTTGCACTTCATGTTTGTTATTTTGAGACTGGGTCTCACTATGCAGCCCAAGCTGCCCTTGAGCTCAAGATCCTCCTGCCTCAGCCTCCCAGTGCTACCCTACTGCTATCAATTTTGTGATGAGAAAACAGGTCAGAATGTTGTGGCACCCCTGGGCTCAGGATCAGAAGCTCTCCTGCATTCTGGGTGCCCCCCCCCCCCCGCCAATGTCCCCAGCCCACCTAGGGGCCTGACCTCCTCAGTGCTGAGCCCAAAGTCACAGGGTACCACCCTGCGGTACTTGAAACGACAGGGCAAGTCATCGATGATGTCCTCGTAGTCCAGCCGGTAGTACTCATCCAGGTACTCCTCGAAGGTCTTGTCCCCTGCGGGGGGGTAGGCGGGGTGGTGGGCAGAGTCAGGCTGCCAGGCACCCTAGGCCCTATCAGGCCCCAGCACCCTCGGCCCCCACACCTCACCGGGGTTGAACACAGGCTTTTCCTGGCCCACAGCCTCGGCGAAGGGCGATTTTCGCTTCTTCTTGCCCGTGGAGGGAGCCTCGCGCTGCCTCTTCCGGGACTGGCTGGGGTCGTAGTCGGCGTCCATCTGCAGGACGCCACGTCGGGTCAGTCTGCAGGGTCGCGCAGCGTGCCGTGCATCCCCTGCCCCCACCCGTGGCACCTACATTGAAGTCGGGGTCCTCACAATGCAGTTCCTGCTGGCTCCACGCGCCGCTGTTCTGCTGGGGACCGCCCCACGTGTCCCAGTTCCAGTCCTCTGGTTCCAGAGGGGACAGACAGGCAGGGTCAGCACGGGACCCCATTCAGCACCCCGCACCCCTGGCCTCATGTGCTGAAGACATTACCTTCAAGGCCATCCTCTTCCTCAAACTGCGGCTTCTCCTCCTCTTCGGCACCATAGAAGTCATCGCCCAAACATTTCTGCAGGGGGCTGGGGGTCAGGGATTGGCCTCCCACACCTTGCTACCCGGATAGTCTCACTCCTGAACCTTGCATAGCTCCCCAGTGCCCTCCAGGACCTTGTGCAGGGGAGGCCAGCACTCTGCCAGAGCCGTACTCCCACCACTCAAATGCACATGTTGGATTTTTGTGTGTGTGTGTCACTATGTAGTTCAGTCAAGCCTTGAACTCACTATGTAGCCCAGCCTGGCCTCAAACTCATGGCAATCCTCTTGCTTCAGCCTCCCAAGTGCTGGGATGATAGGCGTGTGCTATGCCCAGCATCAAATGCACATTTTAAAAATTTCTTTTGGCTCTGTAAGACAGAGCCTCGCTATGTTCCCTAGGCTGGCCTCAAACTCGTGGCGATCCTCCTGCCTCAGCCTACCAAGCACTGAGATTATAGGTGTGTGCCACCGCGCCCGGCCTTGCTCAACAATATTTTCTACTAGAAGGATGAAACTCTGCTGTACGTGAAAGAGCCCATACACGGGACCCTCTACTCCTTCAGCGCTGACCAACTAATCTCTTCTGCGACTTCCTCTCCGTCTGCCCTCAAAACAGCCCCTGGGGTAGCTGCTGCTTTGAGCCGCACTTTGGAGGCAGGGAAAGGGGCTCAGAGAAGTTGAGTCACTTGTCTCAGGCCGCACAGCGAGAAGCGCCCCCACGCCAGAGCTGATTCCGAGGCCGGCACCTGCATCAGCTGCTCGTGCTGGGCGGGGTCGAAGTCACCCTCCAGGTCCTGCTCCTCCAGGCCCAGCGTCCTGTTGCCCGTGACCTGGCGCAGCTTCTCCAGCTTGGCCAGAATCTCCTTCCTCTTCAGGTTCTTCAGCTGCTTCAGCTCCTCCCGCTTCCTGGCCTTCTCCTGTGCACAGGGAAGGAGGCCCTGAGCCTCCCGGCAGGCGGGGGTCCCTCTCCAGCTGCCCCGAAACTTACCTTCTTTTTCCGTTCCCTGGTCTCCTCCCTCTTCTCCTTCCTGCGCTCATCCCTGCGGCGAACAGAGGACGTGATGCTGCGCGGGTAGGTCTTGACCTGGGGGCACAGGGGCGCCAGAAGGGCCACGGAGATCACCCAGGGCTCCACGGGCCTGGACTCCGGGCGCCGGCCCTCCCCACCCCGCTCCGCCAAGGCCGCACACCGAGGCCGCGTCCGGCTCCTCGAAGCGGAAGTTGTACTTGTGCTCAAAGTCTTCCTGCTTCTTCAGGAACAGCTCCCCCTCGTCTGAGGAGTCGTCCACGGCCAGCTGGGCCGGGGGGCCGGGGGCCCTGGGGGACAAGACAGGGGTACTGGGGGTAGGAAGGTCAGGCTACCCGTCCCTGAGTACCAGGGTACTGGGCATAGGGATTTTTCTTCTTTGGGGGTAATACCAGGGATGGAATCCAGGGCCTTTGCAGTGAACTGTATCCTACCCCCCACCCCCTTTGTGAGACAGGATCTCTGATCTCGCTATGTAACCCAGGCTGGCCTCAAACTCCTGGAGATCTTCCTGCCTCAGCTTCCTGAGTGCTGGGATGACAGGCTTGTGCCACCATACATGGTCCTAGCCCCCTTTTAAATTTTTCTTTACTTTTTTTACGTTTAAGACGGGATCTTACAAAGTTGCCCAAGTTGGGCTCAAACTTGTGATCAACTCTCCTGCCTCAGCCTCCCAGAGAACTGAGGTTATGGGCATGTGCCACTGAACCCAGCAGAAATTCATTTAATCCCATGAGAAGCTTACAAGTGAGCTGCTTCTCATTTTACAGAGAGGGAAACTGAGGCACAGGGTCTTTGCCAGGGCCCATGATTGTAGCCCGTACCAATGAGCACCAGAACCTCCCTTCGTGGCTTTTTCTACCCTGTCCACGAAAAAAAATCAAGCACATGGTGCCCTTGGCTCCTGGCTGGCACTGTGGGAGGGG